CTATGTTTGCTGCTCTTGCTGGTTTCCTTTGTTTTTGCAAACCTTCTTCATATGGCCAAACTATGTGTAGGACCTGCATTATATGCGAGGTCTAAACCAATAGTGGTTCTCTGCATGCTTTTTCTTCTTGCAATGTGGACATGGAGGATATCCTTTCCTTCCTCTATTCTTCCATGTCTGGTTATTAGCCTTTTCTTTTCCTTTTCTATATCTAGTATATTTCTTATTTCCTCCCTGAACTAGTTTCCCTTTGTGTGTAGCCATCATTACTCCCTCACCACTCTCTTCTTGTCTTAGTAGCCTCCTTTGTTCTTGAGCTTGTAAGGCATGAACAAGCTCATACAAGGAGATTTGAGACAGAACCTTAGAGTGCTCTAAGGATGAAATTTATTATTCAAACCTTTCAGGGACACTCACTGGCACCTTCTCTACAATTCTTTTATCGGTGAGTTCTTCACCAAGTAGTCTAATCATGTTGACCGCATTCATAAGTCTATCAACATACTCCCTAATAGACTTAGCTTCCTGCATTCTCAACACTTCAAACTCCTTTCTCAATTTCAAGACTTGCATGTTTCTCGTTTTATCACTTCCCATAAACTCCTTTTTAAGCTTATGCCAAGCTTCTTTTGGAGTTTCACAAGTCATGATCCTTGTGAATACTTTATCTGTGACGGCTAAATGGATATAGGACAGAGTTCTTGGAGCCTTTTGCTATCTCTTCTTCATGGAGTCTGATCTAATTCAACATGGGATTTGGCCTTAGTTGAGGTGGCTGCTTCTCTTACTCCACATATTGCCACAAATCATGGCCTTTCAAGTAGGCTTTAATTTTGACAGCCCACATATGGAACTTCTCTCCATTGAAGACAGACGGAGAAAGTGAAGCTGAGTTTGACATCATGAAGATGGTTTTGAGTGGTATTTTCAGGAAAGGTTTTAAGTGAGAAAAAGAGTTGAAAAAAGAGTGAAAAGGATAGACTCCACAAGTCCTTTAAGATCATAGTGAAAGCTTTGATATCAAATGTTGGTTTTGAGCTGGAAAATACAAAGGAAAATGTAAAAAGAGATTGTAGAGGGAGATTGTTGTGTAAAGTTCTACATGTTTCATTGATATAAACTGAATTTATACAAAAGGTTTTTTACCACTATTGCACCTAATCTGCCGCGGATATTTTACATACAATTAACCAAGGTTTTAAAACCTGGCCGGTTGAACCGGGACCGGCCACTAAGTCGGGCCAGATTGGCATAAAACCCGGATAATTGAATTCACCTAGTATGCCCACGGTTGGACCGGGGTCAATGTAGCACCCCGCTGGTCCAACCGGCTTTGGGAAAAAACCGGGTCAACTCTAACCCCCTCCTGAATTGCAATTTTTTTAACGGTTTTCCCCAATTTTTCATTCTTTCAAGCCCTAACCCATATTTGCACTCTTCCATTTGTCTATTTCTTCATCGATTTTTTCGTTCATCTCTTAACTTTTTCATTTCCACTTCAGCGATAGCTTTTGTTTCATCTTCATTTTGCCTCATCTTTGGTAGCCATTCCAATCATCGTCAGAGGTACCAACTTTCATTTCATCTTTTTTCGATTGATTAATTATGAGGAGAAGCATGAAGTCCAGAAGGAGGGTACTAGAAGAGTGGAAGTAACTTCCAGGAGTGATTCTCTCCCCCATTGAAGATGATTATTCAAGTCAAACAAACAACACACATCAAAATAAAAAACACAAGAACAAGTAAAAGAGCAAATACCCAGACAAGAAAACATGAAAAAGAAGAAGAAAAAGACTTAGTTAGGCGATGAAGAGACAGAGAAGGGTGGGTCGGTAGATGTCTTGTCGTCTCTCTTGTCTCTCTCTCTCTCTCTCTCTTTATTTCTTTTTTATTTGGGTGTTCTAGAAGTGTTTAGACAAAACCCTACTAATTTAGGTTTTTTTTAATTTCTTTGTGATTTTTCTGAATTTTTTTTTTTTTTTTTGGATGTTAGCATGATAACATCACTGGTTGAACCAATCGGTTGAACTAGTCGACCCGAGACCCAGCCACTTTATTGGATTTCACCCCAAGTCAGTTTTTAAAACATTGCAATTAACCACATCCATTCAATCTTAACAAACATAAGTACATTACACCAAAATGAACCTTGATCACTAGCTGAAAATCTACTACAATTACCAAAAACCATCGATATAACTTCATTGAACTACTCCCAGGCCAACTAACATGAAACTTGAACTTGGAATTTGGCGCCAACTTTTTTAGCTTCAACCAATGAACATATCTCCATATTTCTAGCAAAATATCACAGCTTTAACACCTCCACATTTTCCAATGATATGTTCTGATAATCCTGTCAAGTTTGGAGGAGAAGAGCGGTTAAAGCCAAATGCCTTTTCTGCAAAAAAATTTCCATCCCTTCTCTAAAGACAAGGTTTCAAGCATGTGAACACTAACTATTGAGAACAGTATGAATTCAGCAACTGCTTTATTCCGTGTCATTAGCATCACTCTACTGTTTTTGTTGTTATTTAGTAAAGCATGCTCTACATCTCCCCAAAATTCAATTTTCCACATGTCATCGAACACAATCATGTAACAATTGTCCTTTAAGTGTTCCCTCAACATCATGATCAAATCCTTCTCTTCCATTTTGTTTGCCTCCATTAGAGTGGACCCTGTTGACCGGTAAAGTTCTTGTAAAATTGCTCTCAGTTAATCATTCTTCAAGTATTCTTTTGCTTATAGTATGATAGAGACGGCATATGCTTAGTAGAGTAAGAAAAGGACCGTGTACTTGTTTGCTTAAAACTTGCCAGTACTTGTGGAATGTGTTTAGTGACCTTGTTCCAGTTCTCTTTTTTAATAATGTAATAAACCTCCTTCAACATTATACAAAAAACAAGTTGCTTTAGGTTTCTGAGATGCTCAATTACAGTAGGAATCTCCACCAATGTAAGAATAGGCATAGCACCTTTCTCTATCATCATCCATTTTAATCCTATTGAAGTCATTCAGATACAAAGTTTTGGAGCTTTGGAAACCAACCTTCTTTGAAATGCAATTGTTCATCACAGTCACTCGCAATGAGAATAAACACCAATAAATTAGGCAGAGTTGGAACCATTGTCATTGAATCATTCGTTGATCCATTTGGATTACTAAACTTCGAAATCTGATTAGATTTCGAAGTTTAGTAATCCAAACTGGTACTTATTCATAACAAGAATAAAACAATCAATTAAAGATACAAAAGATGAAACTAACCAGGTGTTTCAATTGCAAATCTTGATGAATTTTTTGATATGTTTGTTAATTTAGAAGAGTAAGGACTTCATTGTTTATTAGTAGCTTATCTCTGTAATTATTTGTAATCTTCTACCATCATTTTTTAGTCCATGGAAACAGCAGAATAGCGATAAGGTCTTGTATTATTCCATGGAAACAGGGTAAAAGATTCCTTTAACTGCCGTCCTAAACGACAAGATGGTAAAAATTAGACGAATTAATTTAAGAAGTTGGATGCATAGGTTTAATCTACCAAATGTTACTGTCAAGGCTTAAATTAATTACAGATTACAGAAGAGCCATTTTATTTATTGAGATAAGACAAGGTTCTTCATGCAAGTTGCAAAATTATGCGGTTTAAGAGTCTCCAAAGAGATGGTTGTGATTGATAAACAAAGGACTTTAATTTATCTACACAGTAGTCATTTAAAATTAAAAACTCTTCAAGTACTAGTAAACTTAATTTACATTTTTTTTTTTTTTTTCAATGTTTGATTATTGATAATATTATAAGTAGACAACTTGTCATTTAGTTTTCAATGTCCATCTTTAAGCATATTAATAAAAACAAGTGCCTTAAGGGCAATGTTCCATGGAAACAGGGCACCTAATTTTGGTTGGCAAAGTCGTATGGAATTCTCCACTTACTTACTGCCCACTGGAGAAAGGACAGAGTTTAAAAAATTTTCAAAAAAAAAAAAAGCTTAAAATTTGAAGTAAATAGACTAAAGGAGAGAATATGCATCATGAACGATTTGCCAGTTGTTCATGAAAATGTATATGGATTGAGATCTACCACATACAATTTAATTTCCCTTGTTAACCAATATTCCAGTCATTACAATAGAAAGAATAATAATTTAGTAGTTAATTAGTAAAATTTGACTTTTTTTCTAATTTGGAGAGTTATTCCAGTCATTACAAAAGGCAAAAACTACCATGAAGATTTTCAAATTTGAATTAGAAAATCTTAAATTTTAGATGCGCAAGTATGATAACATATGTTGACTGACGTAAATGAAAGATGTGGATGGGATAAATCTGCGAGGCCTTTGTTAAAAGGGAACAGAGGAAAACAGGGGACCTTGTTTTTATTGGCAAAGCATTCTCCCAAAGGGTTATACTTTATTGGAAATGTTTCAATTTCACCATAGAGAGTGGATGTTTGAAATTATCAAATTGCTCATCAAATACAGTTCAAATGTGCGCTGCTTGCTTAATGTTTAACCCAATGATCACACAGCAGAAATGGTTACTATCAAGTTCAAGTAGGAGAAAATATCATCTAGAAATCCAAATCCTGGAATTGTGTCTTCCGAAACACAAGCAACTGATAAGGAAATAGTAGATATTACATTGTGATCATTTAAAAATAAATAGCCAAAGCAATACTTGTTTGTCAATGGCGAATATGATTCACCGGTTCATCCTCATGCCTTCAGACTCTTCATCTATTCATAGGCAATAGAAGAAAAACGATAGTCAGTTAAATCTATATAACGAAAAGAGTGTATAATTCATAGATAATTGATGATTATTTAAAATCAGCATCAAGAGCAATTTTACCATTACTACCAGATTAAATTATGTACTTTCTTACAACCTAATCCAACTATTAAATTATTTTTAGAAAAAAAGAGAAACACACAATTCAAAAGGCTGACTTGTTTTAGGAGACTGACCTGTTGACCCTGTGATGGGGCTGCTCATTACTCGGCCTCAATTTCTTCAATAATCTTCTCCAAATCTTCTTCCGACAGAGATGACAGATATTTACTGGTGTGAAAAAAGTATTCTCCTCTAGATGTGTGTTTATAGTCAACACGTACTAGTGGAATGTGTTTAGTGACATTCTCCCAGTTCTCATTTTTTATCATGCCATAAACCTCCTTTAACATGTTTCGAAACACAAGTTTCTTTAGGTTATTAAAATGCTCAATTCCAGTTGGAATCTCCTTCAACAATGGGCATGGTCCAATCGACAGCTCTGTAAGACTAGGCATTGCGCCTTTCTCTATCACCATGCATTTCAATCCCTTGCAGTTGTAGAGATACAAGTGTTCGAGCTTTGGAAACCAACCTTCTTTGAAATGCAATTGTTCATCACAGTCACGCACAAAGAGAACCAGCACCAATAAATTAGGCAGAGCTTGAAGTATTGTCATGGAATCATTGGTAAATCCAAGCAAATCCAGTTGTAATCTGATTAGATTTTGAAGTTTAGAAATCCAAACTGGTAGAATTTCAATTAATATCCCTCCCAAATGAAATCGTTGAAGACATAAAGGAGGAGAAGCCAAGGATTTTTGTATATCAAGAGGCTCTTTTCCACTTGTAAACCCTAATACACTCAAATCTTCAAGTTTTTCCATATGTTGGACAATAGCAAACAAATCCTTCACATCTCTATTTGCGACCCTAATGCCCAACTTTCTCATCTGCCTTAGTTTATTAAGCTCTTCAAGTACCCAAGTGTTTGCAAGCACATAACGTAGCTGCCGCAACTCTGTTAAAGCCCCAAAACCTTCTTGTATTTTTGCTCTTCTTCTGTAAGGCCCTTTGTTGTCCTGGCATTCTACAATTAGACAACGCAATTTTTTCAAATTCTTGATCTCAATCGGGAGCTCACTCACAAAACTCCACTTCAAATCAAGAGTTTCTACTTTGTGAAGCATGCCTATGGACTTGGGAAGCTCTTTAACTTTTGTATTTCTCAAACTTAAGTAGTGCAAATGGAAGAGCTTTCCCGCTCCATCGGGAAGACAATCCAAAGGGGCAGTTTCAAAATCAAGTATCTTTAAAAGCTTGAAATCAGCAACAAATGTAATCATGAAAGACTCGGGCAATATGTCCACATTAAAAAGACAAATGGAGCGGATCTTTGAATTTTTTATGCTCTCTAAAACACTACTAGTGCATTTGTGTATTGAAATGCTTCGAGTTTTGCTAAAGTGACTTAAGTCTTTTTCATTAAAAAAGTGACAAAAAACACAGTCCTTCATCTTTCTACGAAGCATCTCGTACATCAGACCACGAACTCTACAACTTCTAGCTTGTCCAGAAGGCTTTCTCTCTAAAACTTGAATCAAGCTTCTATCAATAAGTTGCTTCAAGTAATTTTCTGCAACATGCTCAGATGGAAGGTGGTTGTTGTTGGACAAAGCCTTCAGCTATCCAGAGGCGAATTAATCTCCCACATTTAATTTCGTAGCCCTCTGGAAACACACCAAAGTATAAGAAACGTGACTTGAGATGGTAAGGGAGATCATCATAAGCTCCAGACAATACGTAGTTGCAATTTTTAAGATGATAATCATTGCTTAATATTGAGCCCAAACTATCACATATATTTGTCCATTCAGAAACAATCCTTTTTTTTTACTGAGAGAAGCCCACCTATTGAAACAATTGCTAGAGGCAGACCTCCACATTTTCCAATGATGTGTTTCGATAATTCCGTCAAGTCTGGAGGACAAGAGCCATTAGAGCCAAATGTCGTTTTGCAAAAAAGTTCCCATCCCTTCTCTGAAGACAAGGGTTCAAGCATGTGAACATGAACCATTGAGAATGGTATGAATTCTACAACTCTTTTATTTCGGGTCGTTAGCATTACTCTACTGTTTTGGTTGTTATTAAGTAAAGCAAGCTTTACATCCATCCAAAATTCAGTTTTCCACACGTCATCGAACACAATCATGTAACACTTGTCCTTTAAGTTTTCCCTCAACATCATGATCAAATCCTTCTCTTCCATTTTGTCTACCTCCATCAGAGTGGACCCTGTTGAACGGTAAAGTACTTGTAAAATCATTCTTACTAAATCTTTATTCAAGTATTCTTTCCCAACTGTGATCCAAGCCTGGCAATCAAAATGCTTCTTCACTGCATCATTGCTATAAATATTCATGGCAAGAGTGGTCTTGCCAAGTCCTCCTTCGCCCAAAACTGCAACTACTGAAAGGTTGGATGTTCCATTTACCAACAAACCAATCAATTGGTCTCTAGTAGATTCGATGCCCACAATTTCAGTGTCTTGGATGAAAAGAGAACCAACTCGAGAGTCGTGCAATACAATATCTCCTTGATCTATGTCACTAAATTTATAATGGTTCACTCTTCTCTGTATATCAGCAAATGATGATTTGATATCTTTAACCTTAGATGAAATTCCATGACGCACCTTAAGTTCATTCATGAAGCAACGCACTTTAAGAAGGAAACCAGTGAGACCTTTGTCATCATGTTCATGATACTTCCCCTCATTAAGCATGTACTCATCTATGACGTCTTCAATGTGATAAGCTTCTTCCCTTACTTGTTTCACCCAAGTACTTACGACACCTCCATTGCCTTCTGCTTCTTCTTTGACTGCTACCCTTGTATCTGCATCCCTAACGAAAGCTCTCATGAACTCCAATTCTCTTTTGATGCTTTCAAATTCTTTCTTTACACTGCTCAACAACTTGGTTTCTTGGACAAGCAAGGAACCCAAGGTTTCTATAGTAAAATTCACTGCACCCTCTGCCATATCTCACCTTTTTTCTTGTTACTCACTGCATTGATATCAGAAGTATCTTAAAACTACTACTTCACTAGTTTTTTTTTTAATAACTTATCTATTAATAGGGAAAGCACAAGATGATTTTACTAAATTTATTTAAATTTTTTCTATCAATATAAATATTTTTTTACATATCATCAAGGTTCGCTTAATACAATTTTAACAAAGCATATATCCCTATCTCCTAAACTAAAAACAGAACTAAAATCTAATTCAACGTAAATTAATTTCTAGCTAATCTATTTCAACAATACTTTTAATAGAATGCATTCAGTAACTAACTTGCAGTCAGTTTTGCAACAAATTCATCGTAAAATATCTTATTCAAAACTACAATGATTTTGTTATGAAATATGTAGTTGTCGAAATTCCTATTTCTTGTTGTGATAAATAAGCGTATCAGTTAATAAATTGAGTTTAAATATTTGCTTCATAAATTATAGCTACCAAAGAAGATAAGTTTAATTGATTACCTGTTACTGGATGATATTTGAATGTGATCTAAGAAATAGCACCTGCTTCTTCTTTGTTTATAGAAGCCTTTCAATTCAATGAAAATAAAAAAAAAAGTTAAAATTTAATTACATTTGCCAGAATAAAAGAAAAGATAACCAAAAAAGAACTTGCAGAAACAGCATAAAACTGGCACCTTCAGAATTTTCTGAGCCACCAAACAAAATTCAAACTATCAGCTGTTTTAACTTAGAAATATTGACTAGTTAAGAATTGTAGTTGAGACAAGAAGCCAAGTTGTATAAGCAACATCAAGCAAGAGGGTACATAAAATTAAATTATCTACATTTATTATATTACTGTTGTTAGTCCTTTTTTATTTAATATTTATTATTATTAAGTTAAGTATTCTTTAATCAACGAATTGTACGGAGTTGTAACTGTTAAAAACTATATGAGTAAACAAAATTATGAATTAACCATAAAACTAAGGACTAGACATATATGTTTATTCTCAAGTTAATTTTGAATTGTTTGAGGCTTTTCCAAAATAATTTAAAATTACACTTTGTACCCATGGTATATAAATTAAGTTTTATACTATTTTAATTGAATTGAATCAATTAAAGCAAAATCACTCTCTCATTTTCTCTCTCACTCCACGGGTCTCTCTTCCTTGACTTGTGTGGATCACATTTTGAGGTTCTTCAACTTCACTTGAAGAACTAAGATTCCTAGAAAGAAGATTCAAGTGTTGAATAGCAAAGGAGATGGAATATCCTTACCTTGAAATTTTTTGGGCTTATGTGTTATGTTTGTGTTCTACCTTACATTCATCATCTTGTTCATCCATGTTACACCATTTCTATGTCCAAACTGCATGAATCCCAACATGAACAGCACCGTTCCACTGGTCATTCATCGTTCTATTCAAAATGACACATTTTCAGGCCTGTCATTCCATATGGAACGCTCGTTCCCTATGCCCGTTCCACTTCATAAACTTTCTGGGCAAGCAAGAATGCTCGTTCCTCAAACATGAATGGTTGTTCTTCTAGGCAACTAAACAAAATGTCTGTAGATTTTTAACAACTTCCTGCAATCAACCAACCTTATCCCAACTCCATTTCATACTCAACAACTTTTTCCAAAACAATCACATCATACATCAACATTCTTTTCCCTATGCTTCCACGCACGAATTACATTACAAGGAGTACATTACTTACAAAACAACCATTTCTCATCTCAATTCATCCAAAAATAAAAATCATGCAAGACGTGAACGATATATACATGTAGCACACTCAAAGATTTCCTCTCCACAAGCAACAATCCAAATTCCAATCCATCCAACATAGACATTATCATATATAGCACACTCAAAATTTATTTCCTTACATACAAGCAATTAAGACAAAATCAATATACTTTACACTCCCAAAATACCTTTCATATTATAAACTAGTCAAGACATGATCATGCAAATGTATGTCGGTTATAAGAGAGGAGGCAACTGGAGAATTTCATGGTTCCAAATTTTCTTTTTTTTTTTTTCCTGAAGTTGTCTTCTTTTGAGCTCAATGTTGAGTGCTAGAAAATTAACGTGTTTTTGTCCAACTGTTAGTTCCTTCGATAACATTAATGGCAATGTGTTATAGTGACGTTAATGGTATTCTTCGTCAGGTAAAGGTGACAACAATGTATGTTTGATTACCATTGACTTAAAGCCTATTAGTTGCTGGCAAAAAAGACCGTTGGTGAACAACGATATTAAAGTCTGTTAGTGACGGTCCTGTAACATCTGTTACTTAATGGAGACGTTAAAACCACAAACACTATGGCATTTGCACAATCAAATGCAGTACATGAACATGAAAATTTTAAAACAATGATTATTAAAAGAGAAAACATTTCAGCTTACAAAGACATTCCAAATTCTTCAGGGGTGGAACAATCATTCTGCAAAAGTTTCATATGAGATTCAGAAGATATATTATACTACAATTGTTTCCTGGGGTATGAAGCCTTCCATTCGGAAGCAATGTTCTGAAAACCGGACCGGGTCTTGACCCGGTCAAGGGCCCAGTTTCTGACTTGACCAGTATGACCAGTTCAACCGGTCAGTCGGACCGCAGATGTCAACAATTTCAAGAGATTTGAAATCTAGTAAATTCACCCCTACAAAATCACTATTATTCCATCCAGGTTCAAAATCCAGCAAAAACACCCCTGGATCTGGGCGGGAAACCGCAAAGCAAAATAGGATTATTTGTCAACCTTCTATTGGGCAAAGTAAAAACCTTAATATACACGTTCCCATACACGATTGCTAGGGGTTGAGATTTAAGATCTTTCTCCCATCTCTCAACCTCTCTCAACTCTCTCCGCCTCAACCACTGTTTCGCCAACACCAACTTACCATTTACCACCATCAAAATTGTTGGATTCCGACAAGAAGACATCTTTTTTTTTTTTTTTTTCTAGATATTGTTGCACTCTCTCAACTCTCCCTTTCTGCACCACTGGTTCACCAACACCAACCAACTTACCATTTACCACCATCAAAATTGTCAAATTCCGACAAGACATCCTTCTTTTCTCTTCTTCCTTTTTTTTTTTTTTTTTTTTTGTCAATTTTATTTCTACATATTGCTGTATTATTGGATTAGTTTTATTATACATGACTTTTGAGATTTGATTGCTTAATTTGTTAGTTAAATAAAAAATATATATATGTGTGTATGATTTCAACTTCATTTTTTTTATTTGGAATGATAAAATATGTTAAGAAGCCTTTCGATATTTTTGTTAAGAAAGGCCACCTCTCGATCGAAGGACGGCAATGAGCGAAGGAAATGGAATGCAGATTGCATTTATTGACCCTAGAACGACTGAATTAGGCTTGAGGAATCGAAAAATCGAGCTGATTTTTTCAATTTCACTGACCCGGTTTGAGCCTTGAATCGATTGGACCGAGGGTTGATACTGTTTATCCAGTCCAATGGCGGTTTAATCCGGGTTAACTGTCTAAAGCAGGTTTATATTTGATTCTGTCCGGCAAAGACTTGGGGTCCCGGTTCGACCGGTTGAGCCATTCGGTCCAGTCCGAGTTTCAGAACATTGCTCGGAAGCTTGTTTGGTAATAATTAATGATGTTTTTGAAATTGCCCCCTCATGGTTTGGTTTTAAATCAAGCACACCCAAAGGTTTCAAAAAAGAAAAATAATAATAATAAATATATACCCCAACATTATGACAAACTGACTGACACGACCCGTCTTGACCCTCCCTATCCCACATGCTCCAGGCGTACCCATGAAACCCAGGTGAATGAGACGTGCCATGTGGAAAAAATATAAATATGTAAAACTTGTTTCCAAATGAACGTCATAAAACATTTCTTCATTTGTTCATCATGAACACCCATAAAACTTTCTTGGAAACTAGCGGAAAACATATGGTATCAGATTTTTCCATATCTTTTACAATCTAAAACATGAAATAAAGACACGATGAAGAAACATAAACTTTGCAAGGGAAAATAAAACACAACTATGACACATAGTGAAATAAACTTGTCTGGCCCAACCTTGAGTGGGATGCACTCCTCTACACAATCTTCTTCTCGACCTGGTTGGGAAGGTGGAAGAATAACATTTGAAATGAGGGGTGAGCTAGAAATACTCAGTGAGTGGGGGAAATGGGAGAAAACATCTCAGTATGCAATAAAACATTTCAATATACAATAAAACATTCATGCTTATAAAATCTTATTTCCATAAACACATTTTAAAATATAAACCATCTCTTAATCCCATGTGAAAACGCTCACCCAACTAGTACTCAGGGGTAAATTCGTCCAACCCAACAAGATCTAACATCGCGCGGGTTGAACCACTAAATCCATCTTGATAGGTAGAATCAAACACGCTCAAGCCTTTGACCCAAGGAGACCATGCATTGCTCAGGTCAGCACAATCAAATCCTGCCAGGCAGAATCATACACAGCTCGAGCCTTCAACCTACTAGGGTTGACATAATCAAAACCTGCCAGGCGGAATCATACATCGCTCGAGCCTTCTACCTACTCGGGCCAGCACAATCAAATCATGTATGTCTACTGATATTCGATTTAGTCTCGGTTCTACTCCTTGCCTCACCCACGTGTCTACTCTCTTCACTCTTCATTGCTTTTTAAATTTTTGTGCAAAATTACAATAACCCCCACACTTTACTAATATTCAATTTAGCCCCAATTCTACTCCAAGTACCCGACTTCGGTTCCAATCCCAACTTTTGAGTCTGATTCCGGTTCCTGCCCATGCAGGAACTGAAACCGGAACCAGACTCGCATAGTATCGGTTCCAAAAAATTGGAACCGAAACCTACCCTATAAAGGCCAGTTCTGATTTTGGTTCCGATTCTACTCGTTGGTTTTGAGTAGAACCGTTACCCATGCTCACCCCTTAGATGTGCCTCAAGCCAACAAAATCCTCATCTTATCATCATCA